TTTTTTTAAAGAACAGGGAGATGCTCAATTGCCAGCAGGGAAGGCATGCAACATGCTTGTACAAGTGACTATGTGGATAAGAGGAGAGGAGTCTGATATTGTTGTTCAACATAATATCCTTTTCCCAATTCCTTATCCTTCCTTATTCACGCCCTCTATCAAAACCACAACCACCCCGAAAATCACATGACCCACATCCCCAATCCCTGCCTGACACCCAATCCCAAGCCCAATCTCTCCCTCATCTCCTACTCCTACCCCATATCCCTCCCCGACCCCCGACCCCCAACCCCGACCTCTATCCTTCCCCATCCCTCCCCGACCCTCATTCCCAATCCCTCCCCTCCCTGCTGTTAACTCCCATTGCCCACAGTTAGCAGTATTTTTTATTTATTTTCTCAATAAAATGTATTTATTTTTTTCTAGAAGGAAGTTAAATTACTAAAATGTAAAAGAATATAATATAAAGAATGGCCCTATCACTGATTAAAATAGTTTCAGTTGGTCTTCATGTCCATGTTGCGTGTTACTTTTAATGGAATGTCCCTGGTGTGGTTTGCCCCGTCTTCTTTCCTACAATCAAAAATCTATCGTCCTTATCTCTTCTCCTCATTTTTGTGTACTATGTAACTCTCTTGAAGCACCCCGAATCTTCAGTACTTACATGTTACTCAAATCTTCGGCACTTATTATATGACCCAAGTTACTCTCTACCAACACCTCAAATCTTCGGCACTTCTATGACCTAAGACACTCTCTACCAACACTTCAAACCTTTGGCCCCAATAAGACCTTCGACACATTTATTATAAAACATATTATGTTAGGCCTACTTTCTTTCGAATAACACCTCAAATCTTCAGCACTCATATAACCGAAGTTACTCTTTAGCAACACCTTACATCTTCATCGGCCGTCTCGTATATGCCCTAATTGGTCGTTTTTTAAGGACAAGCGGGCTAACCCAGAAACCTTGACCTACACCAAAAGTGGGCATTGCCCTACCTAGTTTGGTTTTATTGGTGTGTATATTTGTTTCGTTACAGCGAAAACTCTCCCTTTTTTTAAAGCAACTGAACAGGGGGCAAAAAAAAAAAAAATTATCTTTGATTTTCTCAAAACAGCATTTTTCGGGATAGCCCCCTGAAATGCTTAAACGCGACCAGTTGCGTTGCAAGCGCCGTAAAACGTTAATACATTTTGTACTACCAACCACTCACTGGTGAACTGCGCGGGGCACCAGCACTGTATAGGGTCGCCCACGTACTGAGCAGAGGAGACAAGTAGCGTGAAAGCTGCCAGCAGAACCACCGTCCACAGGTGACTCACGCGGTCCGCCCAGTCGTCGTCACGACTACCCTGCACGCGCGACCACGAGGCGAAGCTGAACAGAGACATGGCCCTGGGGGGGGGGGGGTG